GCCCATTTTTTGCTCAGTTTTACCCTGCCAGCCCCCAGGAGCACTCTATAAGCTTCCTAAAGGCTATCCATGCCCAATTTTTTTTAATGAAAAACGTGAAAAATGGGCTGTTTTGGGGAGGTTTGCAGAATGCATTTTTTTTATTTGCATCTTCAAAACCTTGGTGCATCTTATACTCTGGTGCGTCTTATACTCTGAAAAATAGGGTAATTAGGTTGAGAGAAGGGGAAGATAAAAATGTCAAGGTTGGCTAGAATTGATATTGATATATATCAATTGATATAAAGGCATGTGATGTTGGTGGACCAGTGGTGGGTTTCAAATTTTTTTAGAACCTATTCTGTAGGTGTGGCCTGTTTTGTGGGAGTGGCTCAGCGGTTATGTGACTGAGTGGGCGTGGCTAAGTTGGAAAATGTGGTGAAACTCACTTAACAACGCTCTTGCTTAGCAACCAAATTTTTGGGCTCAATTGTAATCATAAGTTCTTCCTTCCTTCCTTCCTTCCTTCCTTCCTTCCTTCCTTCCTTCCTTCCTTCCTTCCTTCTTGTGTCTCTGCCGGGTGGGGGAGTGGAGGCTCGTTTCCAATGAAGGGGATGGGGAATCCATGCGATTTCCTCCCTCTGCATGGTTTCCCCACCACCTTCATTGGAAACGAGGCAGCTATCAAAGAGAAGAGGGCAGCGCACGCTTGTCGGGGCCTCCGGAAGAACGGGTAAGCTAAGGCACACTAAATTTCACCAACCGATATGCCCGTACCGGTCCGTACAGGCTGAAACCCACCCCTGTGGTCGACACATCCATGGTTGGTAGGTGTAAAAAGATATGCAGAAGCATAATAAACAGTGTGCCCTTTTCTTTCATCTCCTGCCTTTAATGGTTCAGTTACAATTTCTCACTTTTTTTCTATTCCTTGTGTAACATTATTTACCCTGTGAGGGTACAGTTAAGTGTCAGGAAAATTAGGAAATCCAGACTATTCAAATGGTAAAGTAAAGTAAGTTAACTAGTTTTGTTTACTCTCTGCCCTTGTGTGTGTTTAAAGTCTCATTGTTGAAAATAGCTTTGTCAGGGAATGGAGCAATTTGGAGTGGGGAAGAAATTGGTTACATTGGGTATAAGTTATTATTTGCTTAACTGTATTTTATTAAATAAACTATAATTTGATGGCCAAGGCTGCATACTAAAGCTTAGACTATGATTTACAAATTACAGTTACTGGATTCACACAATATCAAACAAATAACTTTATAAATTACATGTTGTACATTTAATAAACAGCCTACTAAATTATATCATCATTAATTCAAAGTATCTCTCAGTGGGGAACCAGTGCAAAAAACATTCATTTCAGCTTTTCCCCAGTGAACTGGTGTTCCACTGAGAGCACCTAATTACTTACCATATCTTTTCCTCTTCAGTGGAAAAAAACATATTCCTGAATCAATTTCAAATAGAAATATAGTTGGAAGGGAAAAGATTTCACAGCATCTAAAGCTCACCTACTCCAACCTTCATGGCACTTTTCTTTCTACTTCTTTTTCTCTTTTGTATTTTAAAAGACACAACTTCGCTTCTGCTTTATTGCCTGTTTTGGTGTTTCTTTCTGTATTATACCCTTCATCATGGAGATAAATTAACAGAATTTAATTGTATTAATTCTTTAGTTCTGTGGTCTTCACATTTAGATTTGGACCTGCACCAGTCCAAAAAAGACTGAGCTGTCTGGCCAGGGACAATTCGATCTATGTGGTTGCCAATATGGGTGATAAGAAGACTTGCAGTCATATAGACCCAAAGTGCCCCTGTGATGGCCGCTATCAATACAACACAAATGTTGTCTTTGATTCAGAGGGAAAGCTGGTGGCACGATACCACAAGGTAAGGTTACAAATTTCACACTTTATTTTTAAGAACTGGTTATTTCTCCATGAACCCTACATAAAACATAAGCACATCACTTTATAAGTTAATTCTATTTTGAACATCAGAGGCTGAATATGTCGAGTAGAGCATATTCCAACTTTGAGATTTCAGAGAGATAACAAATTACCTGTAGCAAATGTGATTTAGCATAACAGATATATAGGGTAGAAAAGAATTTTGGGCATCCAAAGTTCTAATNTTATTATTATTATTATTATTATTATTATTATTATTATTATTATTATGCCTTGAAGTCATTGTTAATTCCCCCCAACTGGAATCCTTTTAGCTTTCTTGGTAAAATTTCAGAAGTTGCTTGTTATTGCCTTCTTTCTGGGGCTGAGGGAGAGTGATTGGCCCAATGTCACTTAGCTGACTTTGTATCCAAGGTGGGACTAAAATTCATGGTCTTCTGGTTTCTAGTCAAGGATTTTAACCATTGCATCAAATTGTTTATCATTGGATTTTGTGTGAGTTCAACTTACATTTATCACATTGCCTTCCTTAGGCATCTAGTACAAGTAGTTGAATGCCGATTAGACCTCTCATTGAAAGTGATTATACTTCCTTTTTATGCTACCTGGTAAAGTTATATGTTGAGAAATCTTGCAGCTTTTATATGTAAATGCAATTTATATGTAAATCCTTCCTGGTGCTTATTCCCAGGAACATTCCTCAAATGTTTAGGAATCAATGAACTGAAGCACCTGGGAGTTTGGATTGTTAGGCTCAAGGATGCTTGAAAATATATGACACCATATCAGTGTATACATTACATTGATCCCAAGATTGCCATTGTCAAAATCTGTTCTTCTTTTTTAAGCAATTCATCATCCCAGAGACAGGTCCTCTGGTGTGACTCTCCTCCCTGACTCCATTCATAGCATCAGCCATCATCACAGGAATATATCAATATTTTATTTGCTATACGTAAGTCATTATTGCATTATGTGCCAATTCTTAAACCAACATCAATTCTTGAATAGCTTTCACAAAAGTTAATCACTTTCCCCCATAATAAATGAATTAAAACCTCTCCCAATGTCAGTTACTAAGAAATCTGTTTCCAGATGGGCAATTTTAAAATGGAATCTATCATTTGTTTTTCCTTTCTAAGTTAACAACTGACTCTTCCTTACGTTCATCTACAATACATACTTATGTATATAGTTGCCCATTTTCTCTCTTTCTATGCCAGATTGAAATTATGAGCAACTTTGTTTCTCCCTGAAAAGAAACAGATAAAAGTCTAAGAGGTCTAATCAGTATTCAAACTGTTTGTACTGATTGCCTAATAATATTGGGAAAGCAATGTGTTAACTATTAATTGGACTCAGGCAAAATCCAAGAGACAGCCCAATAAAAACCCGTAACTATGCTTCCAGGCATTCATACAGGCATTGTTTTGGACAACCTCTGGTCTCCCAGAATGAGGAAGTAGAAGCAGAAATTGCAAAAGAAGCAGAAGTTGCAAAAGCTGGTGAGTGGAACAAGTTGAATGTTATCGGCTTTTTGTTTTGTTCTTTGTTTTATTTCTAATTGAGACAATTGCTTTAAAAAGTATTCCATTGTGAATGTTTCTTTAGAAGTGTTCCCACTTGCCCAGATAAGAGAGAGGCAAACGGAGGCAATAGAATTTACTATACTTGACACTAATGGGGATAAGTGTGGCTATCATAACTTCAGCATTGGGCCGTAAATAGCTTTTGAGAAGAGTCCATCATAACTGTGGCCATTAAGCAACCATGTGTACCATACAGATTCAAATGTTTGTTTCTTCCTCTGGGTCATTTGAATTGGAATCAAAACACAGAAATATTGTTGGAAGCATTAAAAGTGCATCAGACAGTTAGTGATTTCAAGAAACCCTATCAGAGCTCAACAGCTGAAACTACATTACCGAGGGTCATCTGATTAGATATATGATCTTTCTGAACACTCTCTCTTCACTTGATCTACCTTTTTAATCTTGTTTTCTCTCTCCCCAGTCTATAAGGACAGGGCAATGGCCTCCTCTTCATCTTTACAGCATGCTTTTATTCTTATACTCCTGGGGGGCCTCAGGACTTTAGCCATGAACAAATACACCGCAGCTGTATATGAACATGCAGTCATACTGCCGGAATTAACATCGGACCCTGTTTCCCCTGAAGAGGCCTTAAAATTGATGAACCAAAACATGGACATCTTAGAAGATGCCATCCAAAAAGCAGCAAAGCAGGTACTGGGTACTACTTGTTAATATGCATTGGTTGGTAAAGTGGTTGTCCTACAAGGGAAGGAGCTTTACCTTCACTTCTTTTGACAGGGAGCACACATCATTGTGACTCCAGAAGATGCTATACATGGATTTTCCTTCACCAGAGAGACCATTTATCCTTATCTTGAGGACATTCCAGACCCACAGGTCAACTGGATTCCATGTACGGATCCTGAAAGGTACTGTATCTTGTGCTTTGCTTTTGTGTGGTCTCAGTTTAAAGGCACTTGAACGTGGTAGCCTTCTCTTAGGTTTGTGTTTCAGTATTACAATGTACACCCTGACATGGTCAATGTGTCTTGAAGGAAGGAAGGATCTTTCCATTGTAGCATGCCATTTAGGCATCCATTAGACCTCACCTGTTATCATCTGTATATTTCCTCCAGATACGTTGAGCTATAGGCCATATCTTGTTTGCTTGCTTACTTGTTTGCTTGTTTATCATACTTTTTAGCACCCCTTGTCCTCAGAGAGGGGTTCTAGAATACAATTTGATCAATAAAATTAAGAATTAAAAAGAATATTATTTTTAAAACAATATATAAAATAATTACAAATTACAAAAAAATGGAGAATATGCCAATTTCTACCAGCTACATAGACTGAGATGGATTTAATCTAAGATGAAATAATTCTCAGCAATACAATAATTAGGACCTGAGTACATATTTATAGCAAACTTCCACCATTGTGTTCAGGCAGTGCCCGTAATCTCTGCTTCTGTTTTTATAACCACTCAAGGAATAGGATGAAAAATAGTATCTGCTTCAAGATCTCCCAAAATGTTTGCAATAGAATGTGAATTTGAACTTAAGCCAGCACCCAATATGCCAAGCTATGCCCAAGTACATCCATCATAGTATAGTATAGCCTTTATTGTCATTGTACACAGTGGTGGGTTTCAAAATTTTTTGGAACCTCTTCTGTAGGTGTGGCCTACTTTGTGATAATGGCTTGCTGGCCATGTGATCAGGTGGGAGTGGCTTGGCAGCCATGTAACCAGATGGGAGTGGCTTGGCAGTCATTTGACTGGGTGGGAGTGGCCAAGACGATGTCACTGAATTTTTTACCCCAATGGATGATCTACAAAAATATATTAAAAAGAAAATTTATTATTTTGTGTACTTACTACTTAAATAAGATTAAAATAAGTACACAAAACAATAAAAGAACTAATTACAGAAGAAAGATGACTGTCCTTGCCAGTCTTCAATATCACTGACTCCAATGAATAGCTTGCACAAAGAAGAGACACAGAAATGAACTCTTTCATTGCATGCACTGCATTAGGATGAAACNATCTCTAATAAAATGGAACTTTGAGGAAATCCAAGCTTCGGAGTCTTCTTTCATTGGGGGTGTTATTTGGAACCCTGACAAAAACTACTTCTGAAAGATGTGTGTTTAAAAGTTCAAAGACATTGGGACATTAAAGATAAAAAGGTCACAACTGGAAAATAAGAAGACTCTGCTCTTCCAATAAGTGAGTCAACTTATGCAAGCTGACTAGCTAACAGTTTTAACCATACAGTCTGGCACGTATAATAGTAGAGAAATTAATTGCTTGCCTCAATTTATTATGCTTATGCTGCTAAGATTGTAAGGAAACAGGAACTGTAGGCTAAGAAATCAATTTAAAAAGGTGGAAAGGTAATCTAGAAAAGAAAAGGAAACTGGGAAAAAGGAGAGGAGACAGATTAAACACAGAGATTTTCATCAAGAGGGGAAGAGGCATTCTGAGAAGATTGTGACTCAGTAGTGTTTGTCAAAGTGGGCTGCAGAGGAGGGATTTGTGCTTCGGGTTGAGGGAATAAAAAGCTGATGAAATCTGTTCCTAGGTGCCACCCACATAGCTGGCCACCCACTGTTGCAAGAACATATTTTACTGTTTGCTGCTTCATTTCATGACGCTTTCAAATTTCTGACTGGTGACTCTGTTCCTTGCACTCCTTTTTAAGTTTAGGAAATCATGTTTTCCTTTAAAGCAAAACCATTTATTTTAATGTGAAAAAATTAGCCCTTTGGGGGATCATTAATCAAACAATAAGGCTGTATTTTGAAATTCTTGAGTATTGCAAATATTAAGGAAACAAGCCTGAGTGGAAAAGGAGAAGTTACAATATATTTTAGGGTAGGGGTCTGTGGTCTGCGGCTCACTATCGGGCCACGGCCCATTTGAAACTGGACCGAACAAATAGGGGGGAGCAGGTGTGCATGTACAGCTCCATTTGCATGAACAGTGGGTGTACGCAATCCCTACTTGTACAAACATGTTCACAAACATGCCTGTGGCTGACACAGAACCATTCCTTCATCCCCACTGATCTGCCAAGCCACTGTTTAGGGATCTGTTTTTGGTCCTATCTAACCAATGTCTTATTTATCTTTCTGATTCATCATATATATTAAATGCATGCATCCTTTGTTTCTCTGCCCTATACAAAATCTTGAACCTCTTTAATAAAATGCTTTTCGCATCCCCCAAAGAATTTGTGGTTCTTATTGTCAGTGGTGAGGGGAGCAAAAAGCCATTTTGCAAAGGTATTGAGTGTTTCTGTCTCAAATTCACAGGCTAGGTTCTTTACAGCCCCACACCAACTCAGGTGCCTAGGTTTCAAAGGCAAAATTTATATTGTATCCCTGTTGATTGGTAATTTTCTGTATTTGTGTATGATTGCTCTGGAAGGCATCTGGTTATATTTTATAACCAGGAACAATTGTGCTTAAATATAATATTAAAAAACTTAAATAACTCTTGTATTTTTCAATACAGTTAATCCTCAACTTATGACTTATTGCTTAACAACTGTTAGCATTTATGCCACAGAATGATCACTCCCTTACCATCATAAATGGTCACATTTCTCACTCTGATCATGTGAGTGCAAATTGGATGTTTGGATACCAATCAATTTTATAACTTGTGGCATTTTGTGGTCGTTTGACTATGATTTGCAATTCAAATCCATTTGAATGAATTGATTCACGCTTATGACAACAAATTTGCTTAATGACTGGTGCAAAAATGTTGTAAAAATCACTTGGAGTCACATGGGTGCCTCGGCTTACAACCATAATGATTTATGATCAAATTTCCAATCCCAATTGTGACTGTACATTGAAGATTACCTATAATCACAATATCATCTTCAAGTTGGTTGGGAGATGACCCTATATGCTAATTTTTCTCTTTCCTTAGTTTCATTGTCATATCTGGGAAGAGGAAGGTATGACCAATCCAATCCTCATTTCAATCCATAAACACTCTCTATTCATCTTGAAACCAAATGAACAAGTTTGAATTCCTCATGTTCCTTCAATGGAATGATCACAACAATTGAATATTAAACAATGTTAGATTATCTCTTAGCTCTTTTAAACAAGCATTGGCATATCCTATTGCTCTGATCTAGGCTCCCCCAAAAGCACGAGGCAGAGTCCTTGTCCCGACAAAACCCCTTTTATTAAACGAGTGTGAATTCTTCTCATTCACATTCAGCAATGCGTGGCAAATAGTCTTTCAAGGGAATATTTATNTGGCCTGCCCATAGAAAAGCAAAAAAATGTTATAAATTTTATATGTCTCAAAGTGGCTGCTTTCTATGGGCAGGCCAGGTTGGTGCAAGGCAGCTTTGTGAGATTTTGTGTTTAGTTCTGTAGTGAATTCATTACATAAACACACAAATCTCCCAAAGTACATGCAAATAAAACAATTAAAAAATATTCTAGACACAATAAATAAAATTAAAAAAAAACACATTAAAAGCATAAACCAGATCACTTACCAGCAGGCAGAATCAGCAGCTCTCCTGTGCGATGGATGCAAGGAGCAGGCAGGTGACCAGGCAGCAGGTAAGGTGGCCTGGCTGGCAGGCTAGGAAGCGGCGGCGGCCTCTGTGTGTTTCATTTTTGGCCTCCAGTTCCACTCTGCCATCCAAAAACAGGCCCATACATCCTGTTTTTGGCCTCCTCAACCTCCAGAGGGTGGGTGGGTGCTGGCGGGGAGTAGGTGGGGCAATGTGGACGGGGCAGATTAATGGCTTCGGCAGGCTGCATCTGGCCCGTGGGGCATAGTTTGAGGACCCCTGGTTTAGCCCCATTTTACAACCTTTCTAGCCAAAGTTGCTAAGTGAATCTGACTTTCCCATTGACTTTGCTTGCAAAATGTGATTGCATGACCCCAGGAAAACATGACCATCATAAATACATGCCACTTGCCAAGTGTCTGAATTTTATCAGGTAACTACAAGGATTTTGCAATGGTCATAACTGTGAAAAATGATATACCATCTTTTTTTTCAGTGCAAGCAAACAGTCATTAAACAAATGGTCGTAAGTCAAGGACTCTACTTATATTCCAATCAGGATCCATACAGTTTTAGTCTCAGTCCAAAATTAAAAACAAGGGGACTTCTTCCCTTTCACAACAAGAGAGAAGGTTGAAAAACAGCTGGCCATCAAAATGTGGAGGGGGGGGGGAACAAGGCAGATACTGGAAATTCTGTTCTATTTATTATTGTCCCACCACATTGTGAGGAAAAGCTCTTTCTCAAGAGAAATGCTTACCCCCTCCTGTGTGAACTTCAAGCAGCTTCTCAGGAGGNTTCTTTCAATTCTTTCTTTCCTCTTTTTTTGTTTCCTTTTTATTACAGAAATGTAATGTAAATAAAAATAATACAAAAGTAAAAATGCAATAAAAGTTAAAAATAAACTTAAAAAGGAAAAAGTATCCACTACCTTAACTTTTGTTATTAAATATGGAAATAATATTGCTCTGTCTTCTCATTTTTAAAATATAAAGATACTCCAAAATCTACTAAGAAACACACATCTTTGACATCTGTTCTTTGACATTTGAAGCATTTCCCCCCCCCCTTTCTACACTAATTATTTAGCTGAATCCCAGTCTTAATACAGCCAGAGTTCTTCATAATATCAACATCCATAGTTTTAGAATACAATTCAGTATCAAATGTACATATGTAATAATTACATTTTCCTCCAATGATATTTGTTGGTTTATTCATGTCAGAAGCATCACAGTTAAAATAAGACATGCTATACAACATAACATTTAAAATGTAAAATACAAGATTAAAATATGCACAAATTTTAAAATTAAACAGATATTACCAGAAACTAGCAATATTAATTGAGTTGCCATGAGATCCTTAAGTGTACACTGATTGGGACACAAAGGGCAGCTATACATATGGGTTGTTGTCTGCATGTCACCACAATCACAAAGAACAGAAACCACCAGAGAGCCCCATTTGTTTAGAGTTTCTCTAGATCTTGTTGTAGCAAATGATATAACATATATAAGCAAGATTATTCCAATGTTGAAACAAAGAAATGAACCCTAAATGAAATATTTAAAATAGATAATAGCAGAGATTGGTTTTCCAGCATGACTGGAGCCATTTGTGTGAAAATGCAGGAGGCCACTACAAATGTGTCTCAGTTACATAAAGAAGATCTTCTCCTTGCAATGGGTGCTGATACTACATTATTAATAGGCACAGAGGTTCTGGGAAACCAGTCAATCGGAATTTAAAGAAATTTTGGGATTTTTCCCCCTCTTATTTTAAAAAGCATTACACTTTCACCTTCAGTTAAAATGACTTGCAAGATGACTTTAAGTCAGCGTTACGTTGTTCATACGTTCACTGAAAAACACCTCACCTGTTTCCTTAAATGTGTTATCTTTATAACAGTTTAACCTGTTTACGGTGGAGCAACAATTTGATTTCCCTAAAGAGCCTGAACTTGCAACCTTCGATACTGCCTTTGGAAAATTTGGCCTCTTCACGTGCTTTGATATTCTCTTCCACGATCCTGCTGTAACCCTCGTAACCCAGCTCTCGGTGGACACCATCATTTTCCCGACAGCCTGGATGAATGTTCTCCCACACTTAACTGCTATCGAATTCCATTCAGCTTGGGCCATGGGCATGCGTGCCAATGTTCTAGCAGCTAATACTCATAATCCTAGCCTTAATATGACAGGTAATGTACTGAGATAAAAGGTTTGATTGGTATTTGGAGCTATTCACCAGGCAGTTGAGAACATCTAGCTGGTTGAGAAATCCTTTGAAAAATCCTTTAATGCACACTTGCCAAAATTAAGATATGCTGGTGTGGTCCCTGCAGACAGAAATCCAGAGAGTAGGGAAGGCATTGCCATCAGTGTAGCATACAGAGTACAGTCTTTATTTATTGTGCTTCTACAAATAATCTCTGATTAGACGTGTAAACAGTAATGAAGGCAAATATACGTGACCCAAGGATAAATGTTGCAGGATCCAATCTGGGTCGGTCAATAGGACCAACGGCTTTGTCTTCCGAGCTTTTGGATTCATACTGGAGCCCATCCTCAGGGAACTTCTCTCTAGCAGTGTGTACTTTGGGCTGTTCTATTTCTGTTATTTATATGGTACAAGTTTTTAGGAGGTGAGGGCTTGGCAGTGGAAACAAACAGCCAACAACTTAATAGCCAGTCATCAACACCCCAATCAACATCTAAAAAGCCACATACAACAGACATTGTTAAATACCACACACAGAACAACCCAAAGCACGCACTCTACTAGAGAGAAGTTCTCTAAGGTTGGGCTTCAGTATGAGTCCAAAAGCTTGGAAGACAAAACCACTGATCCCAGTGACGGACCCAGATAGGATTCTGCCATAATAGCCAAGTTTTGCTTTGTTTCTTTGCATTGCTATCATAAATATCATTTTTTGTAAGAGCCTGGACCTCTACTGGTTCTTTGAGCATAAGTTATATTCTTCCTATTCTCTTCTTGCTCATCAGAGTAGAAAAAAGGAAAACAGAAGGCCGATGGGGTGAATGCTTGTGTATATGAATACATTTTCTGGTCTTTTTTTAGAGTTAAATATGTGTGATTTTGGAGTGGTGGTGTTTTCTTAAATATGTATGTTGGGGGGGCAGGGTAGAAGAAATAATGTATGCTATATGTCTTGCAAAGACATGATAAGAAATATGACTTTTATTCTCATCATTTTTAGGCAGTGGTATCTACACACCATCCGGATCGGAAGCTTATCATTATGATGCAGAATCAATGAATGGGCACCTTTTGGTTGCAGAAATCTATTCCCATCCGTCTCATTTTCCCACCCCTCTTCCTACTGTTAATTGGAGCTCTTATGCCACAACTGTTGAAGGGTTTCCTAAGCCCTTTACTTTCTCTGGATTAATTTTCCATGATAACTTCACCTTATGTACCCTTGGAAAAGAAGCTGACAATCTTACAGTGTGCCAGAACAATCTCTGCTGCCACTTAAGCTACAGGATGATGGAACAACAAGAAGATGAACTTTATGTGCTAGGGGCATTCGATGGTCTTCATGAGGTTGAAGGACAATATTACTTACAGGTATTCTTTTATTTATGGGAGGGCAACACTAGACGGAAAGATGAAAGATGAGATGCCCTCTAAATTTGCAGGTTGTTATCTAGATAAACTTCAGCACTTTATTCTCATTATCTCATTTGGAATAATTGTCTAGTTTAAATATTCAATCACTTTGGTGGCTGCATCATGCACATGATGAACGAGTCTCTATTAGCAGGAAGTAAGTCCTACATTTCTTACTCCTGGGAGGATGGAGGGAAATGTTGCATCACACAGAGTTCTGGAAACTTTATTACCATGTCCTGTAGGATGCTGACACTGACTGCCATAAGCATAGGACCAGTATTTAGTTTCATCCTTTATCTGGATTCTAATTAATGAGCCATATATTCATTGATACTTTTGGTGACTGACTGGTACTTAATCATGCAAGAATACATTGCAAGGATATGTTTGTATAATGGTCAGTATTGATAAGGAGTCAATAAGCTGTGAATATTTGGATAGAGGGCAAAGAAACCACCCAATCCTATTAGAGCAGACCTAAGCATTTGTTTTGCACAGATTGCTGGCCCACCTGTAAATTACACCTGATAGCTCCCTGGATCCTACCAAATGTAAGGAATCAGAAGTTGTGCTTGAGATGATAGTGTCAAGTTCCGGAAGCCCTGAGCCACTGCAGCAAAACGGGGCTGTCAGATAGACTGTGAGGTCCACCACAAATTTGGGATTTTGTAATGAAATAAATATGCAACCATATAGGAATGGGCCTTTCCAATTGTAGCTCTCTTTGGGATAGCTTTTCTCAATTAGCTTTGACTATTCTTTCATCTCACTTTACCTCCCCTTCCTTTTATGCTATTGAACTCCAGACAGCTGTGAGAGACATTGTCTTTTTGGCAACTGGCAGAGATATATATATTTCCCTGTCTACTTTAATTAATAAACACACTGATCTGAAACACATTTGCTATTTAGACCATTGTTAACTTCTCTGCTACTGCTGCTTGTGCTGTTTTAGGGTTATAGCATTTTAGGATTATATACCGTAGTTACTATTTTTCGGTATCTGGGATCCCATCTCCAAGGCAATGGCGATATCAATGGCAAGATGCGAGCAAGGGTGAATAGGAAACAAAAGAGGAACGAATAGGGAATGGGCTTTTGCAGGAAACAGTTCATTCATTCGGTCTGGAAAGTTCTATTTGTGGTTATAAGAGACTGTGCCAAGTTTTGCCTTCCCCTGCATTTGGAAACTAGTTATCTGGCAGAGCTCCAAACGAGATAAGGTTAAGGTGACCAGACATCCCGCTTTTGGCGGGACACCCCCGCTTTTTAATGCATTTTCCCGCATCCCGCACGCTTTTTTAAAAAGCACGCTTTTTTTGGTGCTC